AAACTCGAGTCCACGGATGTCTTAGACCGCGAAACACGCTGGTGGGAACGGGGTGTTAAAGAGGCAATATATGAAAGAATGTACAACCCCACCCTCAACAGGGAAGGGGGGCTACGGGTCGATCTTTCCGGCACTTGGGATTTGGCACTCCCAGCCCCGAGGACAGACAACACTTAAGCTCCTGTCCTGTATAACAGGAGCTTTCAGACTAATTTGCATCATCTTGTCTTGACTTGTCTGACTTTTGTTCCTTTTTCGACTTCCAAAAATTTGTCTTCACTTTATTTGCATATCAATCAACAGGTTGTGTATATAAACCTGCTTTCCCCTCTGGTCTCTCAGTCACTGACGAAAGCTAGTGGATACTAGCTGAAACGTCTGACGTTTTCAAAATCATATCCAGTTGCTTGAGTAACTGTTTTTTGGCATATAGCACTTTTGGCCCTTTTTTGCTGAAAATAGCCATTAAAGTCCCCCAAATGAGTCATTTGGAAGTAGTGTATGCCAAATATGTGACTGCTATTCTGTAGACACACGTTCAAGGTACCCTTATACCGAATTTCAGATCATTTGGTTGTAAAACCAGGGCTCAGGATCCAAAAATCCATTTTTGGCGAAAAATGCCCCAAAAAACCTTCATAAAAATTTTTCAAAGGTATGTATAAAAAATGCCTGGGGGTATTGGCCCACTCTACCTCCATGCCAAATTTCAAGTCATTTGGCTGAATGATGGCGGAGTTGAATCCCTTTGACTGTTTGGCAGGAGAAGGAGAAGGAGAGAACACAATATATTTCATCCATACCATGGTATGGACTGAAATATAATTATTCAGTAGATACATGTAGTGGTCCCTACTCAAATGACATGTTTGTATATGAAACGTCCTACAGTTCAGCTGAACCTTTTAACACTTCATCTTTACATATGTAAATATCATTGAATTGTATAGTATTGTATTGTATTGTATTGTATTGTATTGTATTGCATTGCATTGTATTGTATTGTATTTAAGTTATCCGTGATGGTATCAAGTTTCCACTTACATACACATCACGTCTCAAGAATACTACAGCACTGAACATGTCCTCTAGGCTGCTGACGACACTAATGGGAGAAGAGATCTCCAAGGAAAGTTTCAGGACGTGGGCTCAACACTTGCCGGGTACCAGCGCATGGAGGAAGGTGCCGAGTCTGAAAGTAGGATTGATGTTCTCACTTCGGGAGCAATGAGTTTGTTTTAAAGATAAGGTACATGATTTATGTCATAGTAAAACGTTAAACTTTATTCCAACACACAATTGTACAGGGATCCAATTTTCAGCGACCACTGTCGCCTTCATCAGGATAATTAATGACCAATCACTTCACAACGTGATCTCGCGAGAATTACGGTTTACAAACACGTGACCTTATTCACATGAAATTTTACTGATACGTGACGTAAGCAATTGATCAAAAGTACCAGGGAGTTTATATCGTCCACCATCTCTATTAAGTGATGGCTGAAGTGCTTTGATATATATGGCCTCCTTAATGCCTCTTAAAAAGTAGTCCTGTTTAGTGTCCAGTATTCTCACTTTGTCCAAAGAGACGGAGTGGCCCGGTGATTCGATGTGGATGATTTATGTCGGCAAATATTTGTAAACAAAGGAAGGAAAAACAATGTAACTAAGACCATATTTCCAAACTCTAGCAGATTCCTGGCCGCTGTCCCGTCTGGTGTGGGACAGACGAGTGATGCTGTCGTCATTACTGTACGGACTGCTGGCCTTTGTGGCAATAGCTGTATCTCAGGTAGGGTAATCAATGATCACTGACAAAAGACATTTTAAATGTTTCAAGTTCTGTTAGCTCTCTTGTGGTAAGGCTGCTGATCTTACTGTCAAAAACAATCTACAGCTGTCGAACAAATATATTTTCCTCGGTGTACCTCCTACGTGAGGAGATATGTAGTGTACAAGCCGCTGGTAAGGATGGTCTCTGACTAAGGTTCTGTTTGGGTTGCGGCTGCGTGTTCGCACTCAGGATCCGGATTTGTTTCAATGTCAGAAAGATGTTATTGAGATCCTGAAGGTAATCTTGTGCATTTTATTAGTATCTTATATTATTATTAAGGTAAAGTAGTAAAATGAATCCGGTACGTGTTTGCTAACGTTTATTATACGTTATTAAACAGCTATAGGATTAAAGCAGTTGTTGGATCAGCAGCTTCTACAAGTTGCTGAGCCAACAACTTTCTACAGAAATGAATTCCCGAACCGACTGTCCCAAGCTGATGATATCCCTTCTGTCACGGTGCTACAGCTGAAGTACGGCTAATATAATGGACTGTACCATATTACTTTCAGGAATAATTTTTAGCCTTTGTAGTGTTATAATAAATGGCGATATCACTAATATCTTAAACAACGAAGTGTTACTTGTAGCATTGCTGTCAATGTTATATCTTTAACATATTGTTAGCAGTTGCTTTAAACAGTTTTTTATTCATTATGTTTCCTGGGGGTTGGAATCTTATATTTCTTGTTTTGGTTGTGGTACATATTGTCTATGTTAGCCATGCCTCACGGTCAGTTTTTTTTTAAACATACAGATGTTATTGTTGATTATTGCATGTAACCAATATCTTTACTGGTGTTCGTCCTCTGCCGAAGACTGAGCTGCAACCCACCTGGTGATATATCCTGTCGGTCTCTAGTCACAGTACGTCTCTGGGTGGTCATGCTTCCAAATTATTCCCCTGACGGTCTCAAAACTTGAGGGTGTGCAGCCAACAATGGAAACCCGAAATAAGTTGGGTTGTGCTGATAAAATCTCTCCTTCTGTCTGTTGCAGCTCCTCCCCCTCCTGCTGGTGTCGGGGTATGATCACGGCGGGTTCGGCATGGACTCCAGACAGATCTCAATAGTTGTCAGTGTTCTCGGAGCGGTCGTGATGGCGGATCAGGTGGGCCAGGAAACACCAGATTTCGTGACTAAAGCATGCAAGAAATTCATCAACATGGTCTTCTATAAGTGTAACACTTTTCAACGGCAATAATCTTTTATCTGGTATATATAGCTTTTGTGAACTTGATGAAGTTTTTTATCTATTTCAGGTACTTATTGTTCCATGGTTGACACGACGGTTTAAATATACAACATTGTACAAGTATGGTCTTCTGGTATTTGCCTTTGGTGTGTTGATGATCCCTTTGATGGCCATGATGACCGGTCCTTCAGTCGTTCTTCCTCCATTGCCTGCAAACACGACTTTAACCTCCACAACAGTGCTGCCCTCCAGCCAGCCCCCGAGTCCTTCAGCACAGACGACGCCAAGTGTCCCTTCACAGGCGGTCACCGTTCCAACCTCCAGCTCCACCTCTCCACCACAGGCTCCTGTCACACAACAAACCAAACCTGTCACTCCCAAAACTGAAACTCCGATGAACCCCAGCACACCCAGTTCTAAGCTTCAAACCCAGAGCACAACTAGTCCCCAGCCACAGGTTCCCGCTACACCCAGTCCCCAGGTTACCACTACACCCAGCCCTCAGTCACAGGTTCCCGCAACACCGAGTCCCCAGCCACAGATTCCCGCTACACGCAGCCCTCAGATTACCACTACACCCAGCCCTCAGATTACCACCACACCCAGCCCTCAGCCTCAGATTTCTGCTACACCGAGTCCCCAGCCACAGGTTCCCGGTACACCCAGTCTTAAGCCCCAGGTACCCAACCCAGAACCACAAGCTCCAACACAGCACGAAAACAGATATTTAAGCAAAATTTACGACATCCGTATTGAGACTTTAAAGACAGGGAAATATTTAAGCAGACTTTAAGATCGATTAAAGTGTACTGAAAAGAAATCTTATATTTACGAAGGATTTTCGCAGTTGTAAATGTAACGTATTACGGCATGTTTCTTTACGCACGGTTTACAGATACTGAAATATTCAGTTACGACAAACATGTTGAACATGTCCCAGAAAGGTACAGGAAATGTTTTGTATTTCTGTTTCAAAACTTAAGTCAAATTTGAAACATGAGTAAATCAATCAGGTATATTTTTAATTTTTTTCTACTCACAATTTAAAGCAAGACGGAAAAGACGCCGCGTAAATTATCGAGAGCCTGTGCCTAGAACTCTGTTTCCTTTCAACGCCTGACATGAGTTGTAGCAGACCTTGGTGCACGCAAATATAAAAATTTTTATGTTTTCATAGCTTACCAACAAACATATGATGTGTTTAATCCTCCTCTCCGCACACTTTCAGTGTACGGTGGGCAGACTTTCCCTCTTTAGCTTATATGTTCCCAAAAGTTATATGAAAGCTAGCATTTATTCAACAAATATACGACGCGTTTAATCTTTCTCT